GGCAAAGTCTCAGAAGACACCTGAGAAAACCTTAAGTTTACACCTCAGGCTGGTCTTTAGCACAGAGATAGCCTACAGCAGTCAAAAAAAAAAAAAAAAAAGCAAAAACAATAACAAAAAAACACAGCAAACCCTGGAGAAGGGACAGAATCCAATCTCCAGAGCCACTGCATCCTCCAGTTTCAACCAAACAATCACAAGGCTTACAAAAGGAGCCTGGTATGTTTTGCTACGGTTCAGATTCTTTTGGCATTCCACAGTTACTCTGTGACTCAAATATCACTGTAACTTTTCTCCTTCCAAACGAGAACAAGGCCTTCATTCTTTGACAGCCCTGCAACACTCAGCCTCAACTCCACACCATGTTACATAGAAAGTCAGCCTGTGTTCTCTCCCATTCACTCATAATTAACGAAGTACTACTTGGTGCCAATGACTTTTACCATAAATGCAAATGCAGCATGCAAATCTCAAGGATTACTCAGAAAGTAATTAAGCATATTATACAGAAAATTATCTTTTTCCCCAGATTATCAGCAAAATGAAAATACACTTTTAGAAGTTTTTTCAGAGAACGAGCAAACTCCCTAAATTAGTCCTATAAGGTACCAGGGGTACATGACTCTAGCTTAAGAAACACCTTTCAGTGTTTAGGTTCATAAGGCAAGTCTTTATATTCCCCTATCAGCCCAGGAGTTCTCTTCCTTCTTGTCAGAAGACAAGAACAAAACATTTATTTTGTTGTCAAACGCACTTGAGTTCTAATCCCAGGTATGTCAATTAATAGCTGTGTGACCTTGAACAGCTCATTCAACCTCTCTGAGGTTGTTTTTCTATCTGTAAAATAGAAAAAAAAAGGACTTTTTTTAGGATCATTGAGTAGATTTAATGAAATTGTTTGTCAAGGAAGGTATTAAATTGGGAGCACAGTCACATGTGTCCTATACTCCTGTAGCAAATCGTCTAAAGAAATAACACACTTGAATTGCTACTCTCAGTAACATTATAACGATATCGCCTAAGGCAGTCATTGTCCTGGGATAAGAATCTAACAAATAGTTTTGGCACTTGATTAAAGTTCCTGCGATTCATGGTGAGCAAAGTTGTCACAGGGGAAGAGGTGGATCTTCTGCGTGAGCAGTTCTAGAACGAGGGAGACACGCTGTGCTCTGGAGAATGAGGGGATGGCCCAGCCTGTGGCTGACTCTATAAACTCCTGGAAGCAGCTCTCTCAACACAGTGGTTGTTCTTTGGGGAACACTGGCTGAGCATAAGAGGGAGACATGAGGCAGTGGTGAGCTGAGAGCCCAATCATGGGCCAACACCTGGACCAGAAGTGCTTTTCCTGTAGCAGTAGTCAAATACATCAACTGAACATACCTGACCACTCTCTAACAATCAGAACAGTAGGGAGACCAAGAGCTGTAGCAGTAGACCAGTATCTGAGAGAGCTGTCTGCTCCTGTGAAGGATCCATGGACACCGGTGGCCTGGATGTTCAGAACCTCTGCTGATTTTTGAAATAGACTCAGTTTGAAAGGATCCTACTTGAAGAATTTTTTTTAATGGGAGCAAATATAAAGTGGCTTGCAAAATTTTTCACAGGAGAAGAGAGAGTAAATACAGCTTTATTAGGATTAAATTTTTCTGACTTCCAGTGTGATAACAGAGCAGGGAAATACCTTTAATGTGATTTTTTTAAGATTCTGCCTTTGTCTCAATGTCTCAAAAGGCTAATCCTCTTCTTAGGACACAAGTGAACACAGTAGAGCTTGGGTTACAAAAACATGCCTATTGCCCACACTGGGGCCAAGCAATAGAGATGAAGGCTGACATGTGGAGCAGTCAGTGGGAAGCTCCATTTGACCGGACTGAAATGTGAGATGCTACAGACATAGAGGATAGACATGGGGGTGCGGGGTGGGGGTGGCGCGGTTGGGTTGGGATTTGTGGATTAACAGATGCAAACTATTATATAGAGAATGGTTAAACAACAAGGTCTTACTGTGTAGCACAGGGAACTACATTCAATATTATGTGATAAACCATAATGAAAAAGAATATATATATATATATATATACACACACAACTGAATCACTTTGTTGTACAACAGAAATTAACACAACATTGTAAATCAACTATACTTCAATAAAATAAAATAATGTGCAATGCTGAAAGAATCTTCCCCATAACTCCCACTTGCACCCCATCTCCAGGGAAGAAATATTTAAATGTTGAGTGGAAATAGTACTGAAATGCTAGATAGAGCGGATATCAGAAGGCAAGAACAGAGGAGGCTAAGCTGGCTCTGCTCCAAAGCTGTAGGGAAATTCTTGGAAGCCCGTCAAACAATACTTGAAAATATAGACAGCTGCCCAATAATGTTGTAAAATTTCTCATAACTTCTCAGAGAACAGAAGGGAGAGCCTCAGCCTTATAGCAGTTTAGAGGATTGCCCTAATTCATAAGTCAAGTTGCTGACATACACAGGAAGAAGAAAAGAACTTTACGTATCCTGTTACAACCCAGCAGACTTTTGAAATGAGCCATGGAACAAGGTCCTGCGAGCCTGGACCTGGTCCTGACCTTGGAAAGATCAGGCTCTTCTGGATCAAGTTCTCCAGAAGGAATTCAGAGAGAGGCATTATTGAAGAAAGGTGCATTTACCGGAGAATTGATGGACCAACCAAATAGTCACTTTTAGTGAAAACTCAGGAGGAACAAGAAAAAGTGTCAATCCTGACTGTTCTTAGATAACAAATCAAAGAGCAAAGTTGGACCCGGAGGCACTTGAGGTTGAATTCCTGCCAACAAGGTCCTAAGGAATGGGAGAAACACGTCCCAACCTCAGGTCAATAATTTCCACAGAGAATGCAGTCATTTTCTACTGCTTAACAATTTATCACAAACTTAGTGGCTTAAAACAACACATTTGTTATCTCAGAATATCCATGGGTCAAGGGCTTCCACATAGCTTAGCTGAGTCCTCTTGCTTGTCCAGAGGCAACACCCAGATCATAGGGGCCACCACAGCTCTCTGTCTTCTGACCCCCACAGACACCTCAAACATGGTGGTCTGCTTCTTTGAAACTGACTAGAGAATCTCTCTCTTATAATGTAATATAAGCCCTGGAGTGACTATTCCATCACTATTCATCCTATTTGGTTGGCTAGAAGTAAGTCCCAGGTTCCATTTACATTCAAGGGGAAGGGATTACACAAGGGGTGTGACTCATTAGAGGTCACCTTAGGGCGTGTCTGCCATGCACTAATACAATTCATTGTTGTGTATGTTTGTGTACATGTGCACATGGGCATGTCCACCTTGGTCTGTGTTGCCCCAGACTCAGACACTGAGACAAGGGTTCACATGGAATTGGGAGAAGATCCTAGGAAACCTGCAGGGGCGTGAGGAACTGAGATAGGGAAGGGAGGCAGCTAATAACGGGTGTGTGAATAAATTACAAACTATGGGCAATTTGAACCTTAATCCCTCTAAGGAACTCTGGAAGCCCGCCTGCTACACTTGCCTCAAACTTATCACACATTGGGGCAAGGGAATTGAGGTATTTATACACCAATAGCAGGCACTGAAAATGGTGAAGGCTGAGAGGATACAGGCAGAGCCAGACTGCAACTTTACAATCCCTAACGTCACAAGTGTGATCACTAGACTTCCACCCTGGTACTTAGCATCTAATTACCCTAAGAAAAAGCAAACAGAGAGGAGAGGAAGATGAAGGAATATGTCTGAACTAGTAAGTTAGTGGAATACCAGGTCTCTTCTTCTTATCTATCCCTTGGGGGCAGAATTTGTGAATCCAAAATTGTAAATATTTGTGTTACCGACCAGGGTTCTTGGCCTTCCCCAGTCAATAGAAATTGACTAGAGGCCAGACTAGAAATTCAGGCAAGTCTTTAAATTGGGGCCCCTGCTGCAGCAGGAGGAGCAGAGAACAAACAACAGGTTCCTTGCTTGCTCGCTCCCTGAGGGAGGGCAAGCTTGCTCCTTATATGGGGTGAGGGTAGGGGTGTGTCCAGGGGTTGGGCCGGAGAGGTGGCTGAGGTGTTTTGCCCACTGCTTAGGTGGTGTTGTATGCAGGGGGCATGTGCAGTACCCTGCTTTTGCTCCCAACACCCTGTTTTTGCTCCAGGCTCTTAAAAAGTGGCAGTTGGGTTTTTTGGTCTCTTTGTATCTTTTGGGTACAGAATTTGCCTCAACTGCGGCATGCACGCAGTTATTTTTAGTCCCATACAGTTTCTTTGTAACTCATTGCTTGAGGAGAGGTGTGTCCAGATGCAAGCATTGCAGCACTGCAGCAAGGGGTTCCAGGTCCCACCAAAGGGTCCCAGGTCCCAGCCTGTCTCATTTGCAAATATTTTCTCAGGTGAAAATACAATGGGATGAGAACATTTTATTCACTATTCACAAGAACTTCTGGAAGAACTATTGAAGGCCAGAAATTCAGGCAGGACCATTCTCTGAGAGGGAAGCAGATAGAGCAAAAAACTATCCCTTCCAGGGAGCCATGCCAAACAGGGAAGGGAACTTGTTTGGAGCAGGAGCTGAAAAGATCCCTGGGCTTCCCTGGTGGCGCAGTGGTTGAGAGTCCGCCTGCCAATGCAGGGGACACAGGTTCGTGCTCCGGGCCGGGAAGATCCCACATGCCGCGGAGCGGCTGGGCCCGTGAGTCATGGCTGCTGAACCTGCGCGTCCGGAGCCTGTGCTCCGCAATGGGAGAGGCCACAACAGTGAGAGGCCCGCGTACCGCAAAAAAAAAAAAAAAAAAAAAGAAGATCCCTGAGCACAAGGGGTAGAGCAGGGACACAGCTGAGAGGGGAGACAGAGAGGACCCCTGGTTGGCCAGGCAGGCAAGGAGGGCCTTCAGGAAGAACAAGAATATCTAATAAGATTTCTTTAGCTTATTTTTGAAGTATATAATATACACAGAAAAGTCTGCTTATCAAAAGTGCACACCTCAATGACTTTTCACAAACAGAACACACCTATGAAACCAACACCCAGACCAAGAAACAAAGCATGACCAGCACCCTAGAAGCTGCCCTTGCACTCTACGTCGTGGTCCGAACGTGGGTTGGAAAAGAGTTTCCAGACACAATGCGGAATGTCAAGAAGACAATTTATTAGAGGGAAGGGTCGCTGCCAGAGCAGCAGGCCAACTTCTTGATAGGGAGAGTCGACCCTCAGCAAAGGTTTCTGGTCTGTTTTTAAAGCCAGGGAACCTGCAAGTCATCTGCTGACTGGGAAGAGTATGTATACTTTCAGTATGCTGAGCTGGAGAACAGTGGAGCATGCGCTAGGAGGGCTCTGGGACATTGCAATGGTCGCAGTGTGACAGAGTGACAGGAGTCCTGTAACTCTTTGTTCCAGCAATGTTGGTCCTTTGAGTTTATCTTGTTCTTTGTCCTTGGAGCACCACACTCTGTTCCAGTCATGACCCCTCCCCCAAAAGGTAACCGCCAGCCTGACCTTGAACAATATGACCAGCTTTTCCTGTTTCATAGTTTAAATGGAATTGTACAATCTGTACTCATTTTTGTCTGGCTTCTTTCACTCAGCATTGCGTATGTGAGGCCGTTCATGTCATGCATAGTTGTATATCACTCATTCTCATGCTGTGTAGTAGCGCATTCTGCAAATATGCCACGTTTTATGTGTCCATTCTACTGATGATGGGCACTTGGGTAGTTTCTTGAAATGATTTAGTTCATGTTTTTGTGGGGTACAATGCAACCTTCTTCTCTGTCTCAGCACAAAATCTTTAATCAATGATGTGTGATATAAGGGGATTCTTTAAAGTGAATGCAAAGAAATGCCAGGTGCAGTGTTAGGGACAGTGTGGGGTAGAACAGAAGCCACAGGAGACCCAGCCACATCAGGTTGACTTTTTTTTTTTTTTTTTTGATATCTTGAATGACTCATTTAGAATTCATTCAACAAAAGTACATTCAAGTCACCTAGTCAGGCCGACTAGAACCAGGCAGATTTAGAGAGAGGTCTCTAGTGGAAATCTGTTGTATTTTTTCTTCTTTCTTTCCTTCTTGAGAAATTCCATATAGTTTGGAGCTGTTGATTATAAAACTCCACTTACGTATCAAGGGAATGGGTATGTGACCCAATAAAAACAGTTTAAAGTTTCTTTCTCTGGAATTTGAATCTTGAGAATTGAAATGTGTTTGGAATTGAGTTACCTAATGTACACCCTAACAGAAGGTTTGTGAATTCATGCTTCTGTGATTCCCAGAAGGTCCCCAGTTCCTCTCCTTCTCAAGGCTATAAATATCCCTTCTTTCTAGTGTGCTTAGGATTCTTTTGTTTGTCACCAAAGAACCTGAACTGTTGAAGCTCTTGTGACCTAAAATCTCTCCCCCATATGCCTACCTAAATTGTTTTGGAAATTTTCACATTAGTGATTCCTTGAGGGTCTACAGTGAAAAGAGATGCAATACTACAGCTATTGTATGAAAGTATTGGGGAGGGAATCTCTAGTAAGCTAAAATTAATTACTGAAACATTAGTTGTCATAGATTTATCAGTTCTCATTTATCATTCCTTCATGAAGGGATAGAATATAGAATGGATAGTTTTGGGTTAGAATGAGGCAGTTTTGCACATGACACCCCTCCAGATGAAAATCTCTGGGCAACTGGGAGAAGCGTACAAGGGCGTAGGTAGTTGTCGGCTCAGTGGAAGGAGGCTGTTGGAGACAACTACCAATGGTCCTCTATATCCACAGGCTCCACATCCACAAATTCAACCAAGCTTGGACCAAAAATATTCAGAAAAAAAAAATCCAGAAAGTTCCAAAAAGCAAAACTTGAACTTCCCAGGCTCTGGCAAATTTATACATAGTGTTTACATTGTATTTATAGCTATTGACATAGCATTTACATTTTATTGGGTATTACAATAATCTAGAGATGATTTAAAGTATATAAGGGGATTGCATAAGTTATATACAAACACTATGTCATTTTATGTAAGGGACTCAAGCATCTGCAGATTTAGGTATTCATGGGGTTCCTGGAATCAGTCCCTTGAGGATATCAAGGGACCACTGCATTGTCAACATACTGGTTAGGCCAGTTTAGCTTATTGTATGTAGCCAGTAGTATGGCCTCCTATCCAGAACAAATGGCTCAGAAAGAATGTTTTCTGATTTTGTTTTTGTTTTATTTCCCCCCCAGTGATTCTCATGTCCAGCAGGTTTGGGAACCACAGAGTTAAATGACTTCTTATAATAACTTTGCATTAGATTTTACCTTGATATGTTTTTATTGCTCATTTTTAAGTGACATTAGTTTCCTGAGCTTTTAAAAGGTAGTGTGGTTCGGGGTAGATTTTCTAACTTTACTGAGCTCTCTCTTTTGTTTTTGTGCAGTGTTCAGAAATATGGCAGCTAGCGGTCTGAGATTTCCTGGCTCTGTTCCACTCCCCCGTGTTTACCTCGACCTTCTCTTTCCTTTGTAGCTGTTGTTCTTGTCCTACTCAGTTTCAATTCCACTCCCAGCAGTTTCTATTCAGTGTCCCTCCAATCCTGGAAAAGAGCTCTTGTTCTTACTAGAGTTCACATCCGGCTCCCACTTTGTAAGAATCAACTGTGCGTATCTCTTCCCAACTTTGTACTCATGTTAGTAGCTTTCAGTTGGCCATGGCAGGAGTATTTATACCATGGAAATCAGCAAGCACCACAAATTGGACTGTTAAACAATGACCAGCACACCACTGGCTATGCCGCTCTGGCTCTTGAGATCTTCCTGGGGAGTTGGGAATTGGAGCTTGTACTCACTGGCACTGGGGTGGACAAAACTACTCCCATTTTGAGCTGATGCCCTGAATTAGTCTGTCTGCTCTCTGGCAGTTTCTCATTGGCTGTTTAGAGGTTCTCTGGTTCTCCACGTCCTCAGACACACCACTGCTGCCCACTGCTTTCTCCCTCACAGATGCCACAGCAAGTTTTATGACTGTTGGTTTATCCTCACCCACTTGTATTTTGGGGGTCACAGGGATTCGCTATCACTTAGTTTTATTGCAAATGTGTATGGGATTTTGGTTTTCCTCTACCTGTTTTGATGTGAGGATTCAGAAATTCAAAGACAATGCCACCACTGTATTCCCAGAATCTACAAGTTGGATGACTTCCAAGATTCGTTCTAGCTTTGAAATTGTCTGGGCTCAAATCACTGAAAACTCTTTTGTGAAACAGTGAATTGGACCCAGATCTGTCACTGGCCTCCCATAAACCCCCCCAAAGGCCTCCTGGGGCAAGAGCTGGAGGGCTGTTGATCAGTCTCAGCAAAAGCTTTCATAGAAGATCCTTCTTAGCTACCAAGCCAAGCTTCCCCCTTTGAGCTTGATGACCTTTTACCTGCTTCACACAGACTCTGAATTTCCACCAGCTTCCTGGTCACCATTTAACTCATCAGATACTAAAGTAACACAATAAAACAAAACAGGGACTTCCCTGGTGGTGCAGTGGTTAAGAATCCGTCTGCCAGTGCAGGGACACGGGTTCCATCCCTGGTCTGGGAAGATCCCACATGCCGTGGAGTAACTAAGCCCGTGTGCCACAACTACTGAAGCCTGCTCTTTAGAGCCCGTGAGCCACAACTACTGAGCCCACGTGCCACAACCACTGAAGCCCGTACACTCTAGAGCCCATGCTCCACAACAAGAGAAGCCACCGCAATGAGAAGCCCACACACCACCACGAAGAGTAATCCCTGCTTGCTGCCACTAGAGAAAGCCCGCGCGCAACAATAAAGACCCAACGCAGCCAAAAAAAACAAAAACAAACAAACAAAAAAAACTAAGTTTGAAATCTTTACTCTCCTCATGGACAGCTACTTTTCTGGAACTGCCTCCTCCAGAAAAGAAGATTCCAGGACTCAAGGTCAGGAAATATCTTCTCAGACTTAATGTCAGTTCCTCATTTGGCAAATAACATAATTTTCCACAGAACTGGACTGGAGAAAGGAGTAAATTTACCTTGAACATTGTGGAAAGGTATGTGAGATATAACTTTCAAATAATAATATTACTTACTCTATTAGTCAGAGTTCTCCAGAAAAACAGAACCAACAGGATATACATATACATATATATATATATATATATATATATATATATATATATATATATATATGGAGAGAAACAGAGAGAGAGAGATTTACTATAAGAAATTGGCTCATATGACTATGGAGACTGACAAGATCTGCAGTCAGCAAGCTGGAGACCCAGTAGAGCTGATGGTGTAGTTCCAATCTAGTCCGAGGAGTAGCAGGCTTAAGACCCAGGAAGAGCTGATGTTTCATTTTAACCCTGAAGGTAGGGAGAAAAACAACGTCCTGGCTGGAAGGTAGTCAGGCAGGAGGAATTCCCTCTTATTCAGGGGTGGGTTGGCCTTTTTGTTCTATTCAGACCTTCAACTGATGGAATGAGTTTCATCCACATCAGGGAGAACCATCTGCTTTATTCAGTTTATTGATGTAAATGTTAAACTCACTTAAAAATACCCTCACAAAAACACTCAGAATAATGTTTATCCAACATCCTGTGGGTCAGTCAAGTGGACACATAAAATCAGCTTCACAATTACTAACATTTATTGAGCAACATTTATTGATTGAGTACTTTCCAAATATTAATTCCTTACAAATGATCTCATTTAATCCTCACAAGCTGTAAAATACTTTCAATTATTCTTCCAATTTTACAAATGAGGAGATTAAAGGTTGAGGTGTTAAATATATTGACTGAGGTCTCATAGTGAGTAAATAGCACACTATAAATAGCACACTATAAAATCTAGGATTTTATACTTTCCTTTCTGTTTTCCTTTCCTTCCTTCCCTCCCTCCTTTCCTTCCTTCTTTCCTTCCTTTCTTCTCTTCCTTTTTCTCTGTTTTCTTTCTTCCTTCCATCACAAATGATGGCCTCAAGAAATGAGCAGATCTTACTTCACATTAGCGAATAGCTCTTTATGTGTTGATTTCTACATAACAGCATTCGATTTGTAGCTGTTGACCCAATAAAGGATGAATGAAAGCTTCTCATGAGGTAAGAAGTGAGAGAGTTTCTAATCATTCGCCCGTTCCATACTGTGCCAGCATCTCCACAAGAGGCATG